CCCGATTATCATTCTATATCTCCGGCATATTGACGCATTGCAGTTCAGTCTATCCCGGTTCGCTGCTGACACCGGTCACCAATGGCATGCAACAATATGGCATGCAACCCAGCAGTACAGCAGCACTCACCGCCGTCTCATCCGGTTCACCGTCCCATCACCCAGCAGCGCATTCGGCGGCCTCCACGCCTGGCGCACACTCAACAAATTCAGTCGTAGCAGCGGCCAATGCATCGCTTGCCACCGGTTCCGGTTCAAATTCCATCTGTAACGATGACTATGGCTCACCGAAGAGCAACACCAGTAGCAATGGTGGTGGTGGTAGTGGTGCGGCTGGCGATGCTAATAGTGGGCCGTTGCCAGCATTTCAACGTATTACCAGTTATGGTGGTGGTGCGGGCGGCACAGCTGGTGTGGCGAATTTGAACGGCGGCGGCGTAACAACGGTTGGCAGTGGCGCCGATCGTTACACATCGTTGGCAAATTATCGCACAGTGAGTATACATACGCGTACATGTGTTGTGACGAGCTTTTAACTTTGTAAATATTTTTTACTTTATATTCGTATACACAGTGACTCAAACAAGTGTTCAATATATTTTTTTTTGTAATATTCATAACATTGTGTTTTCAAGTAAAATTTGTTTCTTAACCAAAATCTTATAAAAAACAAAGTTTCAAAGTTTATAAAAATTTTTAAAATTTTCATCAAAATTTCGTAGTTTTAAATCTGAATTTTTAGAAAACTTATAAATATGGAGGTTTGTAGCCCCCATTTTAGTATAACAAAGTGCCTATTTGAAGCAGCTTCTTAGTGTTATTAGCGTTATTATATAATATTTTTGCCGCCGGTATTTTTCATTTATTATATCTAAAGTGATTTTTAAAAACTCGATAAGCAATTTATGGCAGCAAAAATAAAAATAAAATTTGTACTTCATGGACTGCAAAACTGCACACCCAAAAATTTTATTGAAAAATTCAGATTAAAACTACGATAATTTTATAAAAATGTTTAAAATTTTCTAAATATTGTATCAAGGGTGAAACTTTGATTAATATGACTTATTGTATATGAATTCTATGGGCCGAAAAGCTGCATACCCAAAAGTTTTAAATTGAGATTAAAAAGTTCGTTGTTTTATGAATTTTTTTTTTGAATTTTGTAAAAAATTTTAAAATAGATTTTTACGGTTTTTGCTGAAGCATACAAATTTTTTTTTTAAATCAAAGTAGTTAAAACATTTTTTTTTAACTTGAAAGACATTGTGAACATTAAAAAATCAACAAGCGAATACTTATTTTCGTCACTGTATAAGTATAGTACATACATACATATGTGTGTAGATACGTATGTACAACTAAATTCTAGCCGTTGCACACCAATATTTTTTTTTATTCCTGGTATATGTATTTTCGTAACTGTTTATTCGAAAAATATTCAATTTTTTTTTTAATTTTTTTTTGTTAATTTGTGTTTTCCTCGCCGCAGAACGACACATGGCCCGGTCATTATGAGGCAATTAGCTACGCGCCCACATCGGTCGTAACGAGTGCTGCCGGCCTGGTTGGCAATACGAATGTTATACGCAGCTGCAATGGACGTACGGGCCCCGGTATTGGGGTGGTTGGCGTTGGTGTGGAGGGCTCTGCCTCAGCTAATTTGGCCGCCGCAGCTGCGGCCCATTTGAGTGCGTCGGCATCGTTGACAGCAAGTAAGTGCTTAGTTGAAAACAACGAAAATAGAAATTAAAAGAAAATGTAACAGGTCGGATAGCTTTATCTGGGGGCTTAATAAGAAAATAAGTTTTGGTTTAGCGAACTAACGATTTTAATTGTCTTGTCTAACAAACTAGTTAATGATTTACATAAGTAATATATTTTAATGCAATTAATAACAGTAGCTTTTATTTCGATTCTTTAGTTTAATTATGTACATATATATGTATATAGTATTTTGTTAAAACTGAATTTAAATGTGTTGCCAAAAAACTTGGTTATTTTCCCATTTTTCTCTACTCTCTCATTTTTGTCCGATATGGACGGGTATAAAAATATGAAAATTCAGGCCCGGAATTTTTCATAAATTTTATACAATTGTATACCTACTAATTCATAAAAAATTACGTAGCTTTAAAAAGATTTATAAAGTGGCATTTAAAAAAAATTCAAATTATTAAGCATTTAAAGTGTTTATTCTTTATGGCTTAAAAAAAAATCCAGAGAGGAGAATGGTCGAAATCTGTGGGACTATAGGTAGCTTTTTTAACATGAAGTGATTTGTTTTCCCAGTGGCGGTATGTTGTTGTGCAGGAATTGCAACAATGTAACCTCATACGCTCCTAGTAAGATACTCTTGCTCCTTGGCATCTTGAAATTAAACTGTTTGTTTTGTTCGTTTTCGATCCATAAAAGAAAACTTGTTGTAGGCCTGATGAACTGTCTTCTAGTAGCATTTTCAACTTTTAAGTACAAGTGATACTTTATCCCATATCGTTTATAGCCTGAATTACATAGAGCATATTTTTTCATTGATTTATACCAAACGGAGGGGTATTTCATTAAAACATACTAAAGTTTTTCATAAGTGCCTTCTAACAGGACTAATTCACATAACATATTTAAGAAATAAACAGAATTGTTCAGGAGGCGCACAGTGTATCATTTCCATATTCTAGAAAAGATTAATTACATTATTTTATGTCGCCAAATTTCAAAACAACGTCAAGAATGTTTTTAGAAATGCCTGATGAAGATGAAACAATAACAACTAAAAAATTTAAATCAAAGTGTATGGCGGGGCGGGGTTTGATTTGGAAAATTACTGAGGGCAATAATATTTAAACTTGTATATTTGAAACTGAATCTCAATGTTTAATTTGTCGGTGTTATGTGATTTATGCAACAATTGCTAAAATATCATTTTGGTCTTATTTTTTTAGGTATGGTCTTTTCAATGAATACACGTTTTTGGGAATTTAGTAAACTAGGACTGAGTATTTCAGTTAAAGTAAAACGATGTTGACTTAGACTTATTTTTAGCAAACTATTATTTTTATTAGACCCGAAAACTCGTTATCCGCCACTATTCGATAAAGTTTGTATCTCAGTTTATTTGCCACTCCTCTTAGACTTGAAACAACAAAATTTTAGCTGCTGGAAAGTGCAGGTTTTGATGAAATTTTCTTTTTTCTGGCCTACTGGGAATTTCATTTTCTTCGAGTAATTCATTTGCATTTTATCTCGGTCGAGACAAATTCTTGTATTTTTGCTTTGAATAGAAGAAGCCTGATTCATTTCCAATTTATCCCATTTTTGTAAATAGAGCAAGAAATATTGAACTTATAACGGA